ACACAAGCTCACACCAGAGACATCTCTCTCCTTGAACATCAGGGTTTGCACATGTGCGCACAAGCAACTGCTGCTGCAAGAACTTTCCACGGATAGTAAGCAATTTATTGATAAGCATTACAATTTTTATATCTATTTAAAGGGTACAAGCACCATGGCTGTGCAGTAGCCACGGTGCCCCCAAACCCAACCAGTTCACATTCACACAGTAATAAATCAACAGCAGCATTCACATGTGCTGAAATGATAAGGATCGAAGCGATTGATACACAGTCAGTACATTTTAAAACAACCCAAGCCAAGGAGGTGGGGGGGAAAAAACAATTGGCTGGCTAAATGAATCAATGTTACTTGTGCATCATATGAACAGAAATCATAAATCAACAGCAGCATTCACATGTGCTGAAATGATAAGGATTGAAGCGATTGATACACAATCAGTACATTTTAAAACAACCCAAGCCAAGGAGGTGGGGGGGAAAAAACAATTGGCTGGCTAAATGAATCAATGTTACTTGTGCATCATATGAGCAGAAATCTATAAAATGATTTAAATAATGGCAGAATCGATGTAGCTGGGGTTCCTTGGGCATGTATGACCAAGCCCTGAGGCAATTGTAATTTATACCCAGTGTGGTGTAGTGGATAGAGTGACAGACTCTAGAGACCAAGGTTCGATTCCCCACTTGGTCTTGCAAACTCACCGCAGGGGTGGAACTGGTAAAACCACTCCTTAAATAGCTCACTTACTTTGTCAGTGTTGGTTTTGACTTGATGACACATGACAAAGACAACAGAGCATACCAGTACTGTACATTTTTGTTTTGGTGAGTGCAGACATGACAAAGACAACAGAGCATACCAGTACATTTTTGTTTTGGTGGGTGCAGGTGCTGTTTCTACTAGTTTTAATAATATATGTGTACATTTGTTAAATATTGTAATAATTTGTTGTTTTAGCTTCTGATATTGTTTCTTTTAATACTGAAAGCTGCCTTGGATCCTTTGGAGGGGAAACGTGGCATATAAATATTTAAAATAAATAAACAAATCCATCATTTAATGACACATTCCATAATATTTAGAAGCCTTCAGGGAGTGGCAGAAAATCCAGGGAATTTGGTGGTGTTCACATAGAACAGAGGTATAAAGTAGCTTTGCACAAGAGGCCCTATGAGCTCAAAAACAAGAACTTTCTTTAAAGTGATGAATATTTAAATGGATGACTCAAGAAGATGGAGGAAGAAACCCCAGATAAACATAGTACAATAGCTGTTAAAAGGTATTGGATATTTCTTGTTATTGTCACCCTTGTCATAAATTCACAGACTCATAGAATAGTGATGTTGGAAGGAACCTATAAGGCCATCAATTCCAACCCCTTGCTCGATACAGGAATACAGATCAAAGGATATCTGCCAGGTGGATGTCTAAGTTTCTCTTGAATGTGTCCAGTGTTGGAGCACTCACCATCTCCCGAAGTAACTGGTTCCACTGCCTTACTGCTCTAACAGGATGTTTTCCCTGATATTCAGTCAAAATCTGGCTTCCTGTAACTTGAGCTCATTGCTGTGTGTCCTGCACTGGGGGATGATCAAGAACAGTTCCTGCCCCTCCTCTGTATGACAGCTTTTCAAGTATTTGAAAAATGTTATGGTATCACCCCTCCCTCTTCTTTTCTCAAGGCTAAACATGTCAAATTCTTTCAGCCTTTCCTGATAAGGCTTGGTTTCCATCCTTGTCACCTTCCTCTGAACTTGTTCCAATTTCTTAGCATCGTTCTTGAAGTGTGGTGTCCAGAATTGGACCCAATACTCAACGCAAGGCCTAACCAGTGCTGAATAGAAAGGGACTAGCACCTTGTGGGATTTGGAAACTATACTTTGGTTAGTGCAGCCTAAAATAGTATTTGCCTTTAGCCACATCACCCTGTTGACTCATATTCAGCTTGTGAGCTATGACAATTCCAAGATCCTTCTCGCTTGTAATATTGCTGAACCAGGTATCCCCCATCTTGTAACTGTACATTTGGTTTCTTTTTCCAAGGTGCAGCACTTTGCACTTATCCCTGCTGAATCTCATTCTGTTGTTTTCAACTCAGTGCTCCATCCTATCAAGGTCATTTTGAATTTTGTTTTTGTCTTCCAGGGTATTAGCTATTCCACCCAATTTTGTGTCATCTGCAAATTTGACAAGCATTCTCTGCACTCCTTCATCCAAGTCATTAATAAAAATGTTTAAGACCCAGTGCTGAACCTTGGGGTAGCTCACTTGTTATCTCCTCCCTAGTTGAAGAAGGAGCCATTAATCATCACCTTCTGAGTACAATTCTGTAGCAAATTGTGTATCCACCTGACACTTGATCTATCCTGCCCATCACAAGACTTGTCAGGAAATGGTCCCTCTCTTTCTTGTAAAATCAGAACTTAGAAACACTAGTGAACTCTGAGTTTGAAGATGGATGAAGTCCATGAAGAAGTCTCTTTGAGAAGAGGAAGCGAAATGACTAAATCTGTCAAGGGTTGTGTGTGTGTGTGTATCTAGAGAAGCTTGCCCCATTCGTTTTGTTTTTCATATTGTCTCTGTCATTTTTTGCATCAGATAGCAAACCAAAGTGTTTGGATTACTTGTATTTTGCACTCCATATTTTGCGTTGGAAGAAAACTTTGAGACCACCAGAGGATGCATCTACTTTTTTCCCCAAAGATCTAATAGTCTGGGCCGCTAGCTCGACTAAGCTAGGTAAATTTGAGTCAAATTAGACATTAAATGCACTGCATGTACCTTATGATTAGCATGTTATTTCTCAACAGTGGGATTTCTTTACAGATGCATGCCTCAATAATCAAACTTGTAAATTAATTCTGTGTTCATCTCTTGATGACTAATCAAAAACAAAGTATCCTAGAGTGCAAAATACAAAGGTGGAAAAAACACACAACAGGACAAATAGATGACTTTCACTACTTTCGGGAGCACTGATTCTAAATACATACTGAGTATCTAATCTAACTTGCCTAGCCACTGAAAAATCTTCTCATGAGGTTTACTCCTTTGTTTGCTTGTTTTTTGCCCTAGTTGAATAGAGAAAGAAATGTTAAGCCATTTCTAAATACAGAATAATGAGAAAATCCTGTAAAAAGCTGACACACATTGGAATCAAATTGATGACATTTAATTATTACTGGAGTCCAGACTGTACCTGCCTCTGAAGCCTTGAATTCTCTGCATGGTTCTCTTCACCCCATTTAATGGCCCCAAGGCATAGTTAATGAATTAACAAGGAAGTGAGTCCGGGGTATGGTACATTCACAGCAGGAAGTGTAAGTAGGCCAAAATAAAATAATAATAAAATAATTCAATTTAAAATAATATTAAATAATAAAATAAATTTGATTTAAAATAATAACAATAAAAACATATTAGGCCAACTCTCAGCACCTCTCAAAAATGTGCCAGCTTTCCCTACTCACCAGAGTTCTTTGTCAGGGGAGATATTGTAAAGTGTAGGGGAGAAGATGGGGTAGAGCCTGAATTGATGCTGAACTCATAAAGCACATATGGCTAGACACTTAAAATAAAATGTGGGAGAACCCCAGTTATAATATTTTGGCTGTGATTTGGATTGTTTCAAAATTTCCCATTCACATGAGGCACCGCTAACATGGATTAATTTGCCCTGGCAATTGGTTTATTCTCCCTTGCTGGAAGGGTAGTTTTAAAATGTACCAACCATGTATTGCTTCATTCCTTATTGTTTCAATGTTTGTAAATGTTGCTGTCCAAGGAGATGTGGTTTTGGGCACTGTGACAACTCCATAATCACTGAGCTTATAACCCCTTTATAAATTGTAAAGAAAGGAGTGTTGTATGAGTACCCCCCCCTCTCTCTCCCTCTTTTAAACCCTGCTCTTCACAATACTTGCATGTTTTTAAAAACCCACTTCCTTCTGACACTGTGCAAAAAGGGAAAAAAAACTGAAAGCTGGAACTGAGAGGGAGAGATATTCAGGGAAATAAGGAAAAAGGGATGAGTGAGTAAAGGTGGGAAAGGAAAAGGGGAGGAGGAGAAAAGACTCATACAGCTCTATTGATATACTGTACCACCTTTGGTAATTAAAAAAAAGGACAAAAAGGGGCCTGATTGCCCCAAGAAACGGTAGAAAAAAATGAATTGATACATAATTAAAGAGCAATTTAACCTGTGATAACAACTCAAATAGAAGGAAATAAATTGACACAGTTCTAAACAATGTAAATGCTCCCATTTAATCTCCATAGAGAAACAAAAACCCATCTGTTGCTGATTGCATAAGGGCTAAAGATTTGCTTTTTGAGCAAATGAAAGCTGGGGGTCCAGAGATTATAACTAGGTGGAAGACAACCCATGGACCACCACCATCTGTTAATGTGTGTGCGTTAATGTGTTGTTAAAGGCACTACTATAGCAGCTCATTGAAAAGCTGGAAAACTGAGTGAAGCTTCAGAGGAAACTAGGAGAGATGAGGAATTCAAAGCAAGAATGTATAAAAAGGTGTGTTTAATTTAGCAGCTGAAAGGTTAGTGCAGTTACTTTTTTAAAAAAAATGTTTGTCCTGCTTCAGACTATTTTATTTTACATGACCCTTTCTCTCAAGGATCATTAAGTCCAGTAAAAAAAGGTTCTATTCACGGGGCCTCATCTTTTCCTCAATGTGTAATGCTTGGGTTGGGTCGGGCCTTGCAAACTACAGGTTGCGTTTTTAAAAGAAAAGGTGCAGATTTTTATTTTTATTGTGTTGGCGGAGTGTTCTCTAAGCAATAAAGCTGACCTTTACTCAGGAGAATCATAATCACCACGTTCACACTCCATCATACAAGTGTGATCACAAAGTGGTTCTGGAAAAAAAAAACCCACCTCCCTGAAGTCACGGCCTTTCCACCACCACCTGAACCGGCCGTCCTTCCTGGTTCCACTTCAGTTTTCATTCCCCTCCCTCCTTTTCTCATAAACAGAGGAGTGCAGCTGTCCTGGGTTAGTTTCTCTGTACACACTGAGGTTTCGGTCAAATTAGCCAGCTTCTTCAAAGTGAGCACACAGAGGAGAGAAAGCTACAGATACCGCAGGTGTGGCTGCTGCCGGACTGACACAGCGGACAGGTAAATGCTTGTTCTCTTTGATATCTACAGCCAAATCAGGGCCACAGTCAGGATTTTAGGAGTCTTGTGGTAAGGCAATCTGAGGCAAGATGGGTCGGGAAAGTGAGCGGAGCACTTTTCTCTTGCTTTCGGTGACATTCCTGGCTGTGTTCTGCGCAGGGTAAGAAAAGCACACTCATTGCTGGTTTTGCAGGAACAGATCAAAGCATAAACTGGCCACCTCTAAATGAAGGGGCAAAAACCTGGCTTCTCTAATAAATAGGTAAGGCAGACAGAATTTAGAAAACAAGGATGATTCTCCCTCTCTCCCCCAGGCTTAACGGAGGGATGGTCCTCAAGTACAAGTGCCCTAGGCTGGGAAAGCAGTTATGTATCTCACAGAGCAAAGGAAGGAAGTAGTTGATTGGGATTTAACTTTTCTTCCATCTTAGGATGGCAATTTCTATTAGTTTGGAAGACTGTTTTTCTAACTGGGGTCTAAACATCCTTGGGATTTCCTGCCAGGTTAGCCTGAGATTCCTTAGTAGAAAGGTAGAGGATGATTCTCCCCGTCCCCACCACACTTTTCTAGCATTCTTGCTCTTCTTTATTGCACAGCTACAAGGAAATCTCAGGTGTGTTCTGTGGTGGACTTTATTTGCATGGGAAGAGATATACGTGTACCTGGCATTCCAATTCAGCCTTTTGGAACACGACCCGAATGAGCTTCAGCATCCAAGAACTCCACAGCTGAGGAATCTATATGTCAGGAGACAAATAGCAATGGGACGGACCTCTAGACGGCAGGAGGTTTGAAACCTGGTGTGCTGTACCCGAAAAGAGCTTCTCGGCCTCTGCTGTGTGGCCCAACAGCAATGCGGACCCCAACGCCCATGATTGTGGGCATTGTGTTAGGCCCCTGTGGCTTCGTCTTGAACCTGACCAGCACTCTGGCCCCCAGCTGGAGAAACGTTAGCCAGATCGAAGGCAAGCCCTTTGATCTGATTGAGCATCAAGGCCTCTGGCAATTGTGCGACGAGTTTCAGGGCAGCAGCACGACCAACTGCCGGAATGTTGAAGATACCCTCGGGTACTTTTCCCAGCTGCCTGTGCAAGTGGCCAAAGGCCTCATGCCTGCGTCGCTGGTGGTCATTGGCGTGGGGGTAGTGGTGACCTCACTGGGAGTGCGCTGCTGGCAGGACAGGCCCCATTATTTGCTGGCTGGGCTCGGCGGCCTGCTGCTCTTCCTTTCTGGGCTGCTGAGCCTTATTGCCGTTTCTTGGTACAATTATGAACTGTATAACCTGCCCGCGCCCGCTCGGAGCACCAGGGAGTTGGGTTACTGCCTGGTGCTGGGCTACCTCGGGAGCTGCCTGGAAATCATTGGAGGCTTCTCTCTAACCTTCAGCTTTGATCAGTGCTGCAAAGAACGCAAGCTTAAAAAAGCCGCCATGGATTACGCTTATCCTCCCAGCAACCAGCAGGGCCCAACCACTGTGGCAGCCATCTCGCCGACCGTTGATAGCAGGGACTTCCAGATGTACCACAGAAATCCAGGGCCCAGATCCTACACCAATTCCTTGGACGTACTGGAAGATGAGCGGGCCTTCAGGGGTGTTAGCCTGCCCTGTGACTCAGATCTGTAACCCTAATCAGGCAAAAGTCTTACTAGAGGAGAACAGGTTGAGCGCTGTTAAGGCGGCTCATTATATAATGGCGGAACAGCAAAGTCCAAGAATGGTCATTCAAAACTGCAACCGTTTCCTACCTATCTATACATGAATAAAATGCTGGGGGCAGCTGGAGCACCAAGAGTCTGGACTTGCATTATAATGTACATTTAAATACTGTTAATTTTTAAAGGCAGTATTTAAAATCGCTGTTGCGTTAAGGAAATAAATTATATGGAAGTATGAGTTGTCCTCCTTGCCAGGCCTGTGTAACCAGCAGTTAAGCAGCAGGAAGGGGCTAAGTAAGACCCCCAAATGGTGACCCCTTAGTGTATTGAAGTGCAGATACATCGCCTTCATCTAGTATAGCCAATGGACATCATGACAGGAATTTTAGCTCAGCACATCTGAAAGGTGTGAGGTTGGAGTGAGCAGAAGTAAGGGTACATCCAATGAACCATAATAGGAAGGTGTAACTGCAGAAACCAAGAGACAAGTACTGTAAAGTTAGGCTACAATCCTAGGTCACTCTTACCTGGATCTAAATCCCATTCAAATTCAGTAGGACAGGCGTCTGAGTAATACACGGACAGGATTCCATTCTCCATGTAACATAAACCACTTCTGCACCAAGCCCTTTGCTGTTGCTGAAGCATGGCGCTTCTACAAACATTCCCCTAGAGAATATTTTCATCTTCAAAATGTATTCTTTCTCAGCCTTCAATGAGAGAAGCTGCGGTGGGAGTGGGGCATATGCAGGCTCCACCCTGTAGCTCTGCACACCGAGTAGAAGGAAGAGACATTGGGTTGATTAAGGTGATCAACTGCTGCACTGAATGCATGGTAAGAACACAAGTGCATTCTGCAAACAGAAAGCTTTTAATTAAAGATATAGCTTTGCCTGTTCACATTGGTATTACAGTTACTCTGTTTCAGCCCCTCAAAAACAAGATGTCAAAGGAGAAGACCAATGTGTAGCCTGCATAATTAAATTGTAAACTGCCCAGAGAGTGCTCGAAGCACTATGGGGCGGTATATAAGCAGCATGCTTTGCTTTGCTATTGTGGATGCAATTGCAATCAGTCCCATACTTTTACACATATTATACTGTATAACTCTTATAGAACAACTGGGTACAGCAGGATCTTCATACTTTTCTTTACAGCTTTTTAAGTAACAAGTTTATAGACAGAAGTTGAGACTCAAGAATCTGCAGTATATTTGAGGGGGCCAGGCCCTTTTGTGGCTAGAGTTGCAGGATTCCCCTCTCCCCTCTTTCATGTTTACTGTTTACATATCCATTTAATAATCCTAAGATTATTTGTCTGAGTGAGACTATATACTCAAGACATTCATGATTCTCTTATCTACAGAAGGCAGAAAATGCATTACCAGAATAAGAATATCCTTTGTATACAGTACATTGGGTTGCCACACCTACATTGTATGGTTGCCTGACGCTTGTGTTCAAAGAACAATGAACACCTTCACTTTACCCCCTCCAGAATGGCAGGTCAAATCCTTCCTTTCTCCACACCCATTTCTAAGTTTCTGCTTATCCCCGTTAGTAATCTGAGTAATGCCGTGAGAGGCACAATTTATGTGGAACCAAAGGAGCTTGGTTGCCAATACATGTGGTGCATTGGCACAAGGGAGCAAAAGAAATATTCAAATTTTAAAATGTTAAATTGGAGCCCAAACCAACAATATCTTAATTTTTTTTCGCTAGGCTTTTAAACAGTTTCTGTTTAAAACTCCAACAGCACAGTGATAGAGTAAAAACACGGGGGGCCGAGGCTGAAAGCAAATTGTTCTCTGGTGCATTTGCCGTAATAAATAAATAAAATCAAACATTCTATAAATGAGACTGAATTTGAATGGGTAATGCATAACTATATCATTTACATTGTAACATGCCTTTTATAGGGCTCTTTGGTCATCCATTCTTAATAGTACACTGTTTATATAGAAAAACATTGTGAAGCAAACTTTAAGATACAATGGCTCTAGGTTATTTTGATTGTCTTGCTTTTTTTGTATTTTTATTCTCCCTGAAAATTACTAGATAATGCAGTGATTCTGACAACTCTGAACTGCTGGATGGCTCAGTGTTTTAGACCTGTGACTGTCGAGCCAGAGGCTGTGAATTCAACTCCCCCTTAACTGGGGCCAGATTTGATGATCCGTAAGGGTTCATTGCAGCTCTGCCGTTCTAAGATTGTTCTTCCTGTTTGTATTATTAACTCCAACAGATGAGAGCAATTTCAAAAAAACAAGTCACTGCCGTTCCTCTCCATTTAAGGTGGGCTTCTGAGTTTACTAAAATATATTCTAAAAACCCAAGAGCCTTCAGCCCCCTGCAGCAAATAGATTGTGGCTAAAGGCAAGGGTGCAGTAAAATACAGAGAAATGTGTCACATTGACTGATGAAAGTTGCAGAACATCAGAAAGATGCAATATGAAATAAAGAGGAAAGGAACAAGTTCAAGATTATCTCTGCTACTGAAGCAAAAAGAAATGTCAGCATCGCTCCTCCCCCCCCGAAAGCTGCACAGTCACTTCATGCGTTAATGTTTTACCAGTTAATACATCCTTTACACAGCACATGCAATGTCTCTGCAAAGGTTGTAGGTGGTGCCCTGCTCTGCCTCAAGAGCATTTTAAAAAAACACACACAAACACAAATACCAAAAAGAAAACACTTAACTCCTTAATGTTGTTTGGGACTAAGCTTCTTCCAAAAAAATTAAGTAGCCTGGCAACTGATAGTTCAAACCCATTCGTGAGAAAACCAACATAAGCCATAGCGTCTGCTAAATTAATAACCAATACCAGCGATTGGTTATTAATTTAGCAGACACTATGGGCAGGATATGGCCGAAGCCAGACTCTACACTTCAGGGTGGACACCTTCAGTGGTGGACGGTCCAGTTTTCCTATTGGGTAGCAGCCAATGGGCCACCCTCAAAGAAGCGTTAACGAAAAGGGGCATGGCCAAGAAAGTGTATTTTTCTTTAAAAAAAAAAAGGATAGAGTAATTATATATTGATTATAACTGTCTAAATTGTAACTTTTAAAAATTCAGTTGTTTTTCTTCTCAGTACAATAGGTTTGTGTTTCTGTTTCCCCTAAATAAAATTATAACCACCAGTACTTAAGTCATGGGTTTTTGAAAGGCAAGATTTTTTTTAATTAAAAAGGTCTCCTTGCACCCTCAAGTGGACAACTTGAAAAATGTTTGAGTGCTGCCCCCTCCTCCGAAAACATGACAAAATTCCTCCCCTCCCCCTGGATCCAGAGAACACACCAGTTTTTTTTTTTAAATTAATTTCCCCCGAAATGGTCCTGAATTGGGCATGGAGGAGCTGGGGGGGGTATTTTGTCCACCCCACTCTAAATTTATTATAAACAACATGTTGCTTCTAAAAGGTCAGCTTATATCTCTCAGGACCATTTAATTCTGCCCTGGGCCCAAACAGGTTGTTTAATATCCGCTGGAAACAACATAAACCCATTATATAATTATCAGTGGTCTTTAGAACATCTCCCCCAAAGTTTAATTTATTTTGAAAAAAAAACTTTCTCAAGAAGTCTTCTTGTACCGTTTCTAGGGGCAGTTTTGCCATGTCAGGAGGGGTCCACCAGCACCTCAGTTCCCTTATACTCCCAAACATTTTTTTTAAATTAGGCACTGGAGCACACAAGTTTTTTTAAAATTAATCCTTCCTTTTAGTTAAAACTATTTCTTTACTTACAAAAAACCCATTATACCAGCTATTAAAATGCACAACCAACCCATAATTATTTGTTTTTAATTAAACATTCAAACAACCCTCTTAGGCGGCCTCTCGCCCTTCCCTTTATTCCTATTGCCTTAGGAGTATGACGCCTGACCTCCCAAGAAATCTGAAAAAGGACCCCCAGCCCACCCCCCAGAAGCACCTTTTAATAAAATCAAGTAGCTAGAGCAATTATTCTTTTTCTCAAAGCTACGGCAGTGGTTCCCAAACTTGGGTAACCTGAAGGTTGTTGGAGTGCAGTTCCCAGAACCCTTCACCACTAAATGTTCTGGCTAGGGTTTATAGGAGTTTCAGTCCAAGAACACCTGGATGGAAACCACTGAGCCATGGATGGTGTTCCCTGATGGCAACACGACAACTTTCTGACTTTAGGAGAAATCCTCGTGATCTATGCTAAATTGTCACCACCATTCCAAAGCCGCAGCTTAAGAAATGAGAGGAAAAGATTTTCACTAAACAATTTATTGTTTCCTTTCACACATTGGCGCCCGTGTCCGTCTTCAGAGGAGATGACAGTTCCTAGGGAGAGAAGCAAAGCCGAGGTTTAGGATCTTGTGAGTGTTATTACCTGAACGACAAAATTGGCACCCCACAAAATTACACAAAATTAATGGAGAAATCTCAGATAGGTGCTGGAGAAACTGTGGAAGTAAAGGCACACTAGAACACACGTGGATCTCTTGCCCCAAAGTGGAAGCATATTGATGGGAAATAATTAAATCGATAGAAACATTGCTGAATCAAAAAAATTATTAAAAATGAAGTTTTATTATTATTTTACATATTTAAGGGTGGAAATGAAAAGAAGAATATGAAATGAGAAGTAATTTGGATTGCTGGCATGTAATATTTTTTAAAAAATTAAGTATGTTAAAATATGAACTAATGGATGTGTAAAGAAAGATAATGTGCTGATAGACTGTAAAGTGGCAGTATGTACTACAGTTCTAACTTGCATTGTCATACTATGGATGTTAATAAAATATTTAAAATAAAATTTAAAAAATAGGAAAAAAAAACCTGAACTCCAACCTGACAGGAGGTTTGCAATGATCCTACATAGCTCAAGCCAACAGAGAACTCTAGAAACATGCAAGCAGCTTTTCAAAGGAAGAAAACTCTGTTTTACCGAATAATCCTCCTCTTCCTTCCTAGCATTTTAACCATTCATTGATCAGCTATTCCGAGCAACTAAATATTGGGCAAAATCTTGTGTTGCAAGTGTTGCACCACAGTAGCTGAGGTGGAAGTGCTATCCACGAAGCTCTCCTGGGGATGTATTAAGTAACTGGTCACACTGGGGATGTACAAATGAATTGTGCAGTCCCTCGTTTATGCAGGCATAATTTTGCATTACGCCTGTGTGAACAGGATTTTGCCGACTGTAACCGTGGCAGCTTTGCATACCAAGATGAAATACTTGGAGCAGGAAAAGAATCATTTTTCGGAAATGTTATTTTGAGACTCCAACTTCCAGAATCCTCCGGACACTTGAGCACTGTAACTTTTTCAAGTTCTAAATGGAACGGCACATGTTACGGCGGATGTTTTCTAAATACAGATGCACAGGGTTGGAGAGCAAAGAAGAGGACTCGTACTAGATGTCCTCACCTGTTCTGGATTATAAGCTCGGTTGATACAGGTCTCATCTTCGACAAAGTTATCTGACTCTGGTTCACTATCTTTCTGGTAGATGGTCAGTGTTTTAGACGATCCTGTGCTTGAAGATCTGCAAATGAAAAAGCACAGGATGTACGTGCTGGCTACAGTTCAGATGCGAGATCTTGTGGTCCTGGAATTCATAGTTTCGCTTTACTCTCATCTACATTGAGAACACAGAACTCCAATAACATAGTGACACTTGAGCCAACTAAGAATTCCAAAATCGCACCTGAGTGCTAAGAAGTCTGAATACTTGCTTAGCTCTCTCTCTCTCTCTCACACACACACACAGGGTGATCTTTAGCCAAATGACGACCCTACTTCCAATTTTATGGCTTCACGCTCTTTGCCTTGCCTTTCGGATGCATAAATGGCTCCCAAACAACTATTAATACACAAGGCAGGGCCAGTTAGGAATAATTAAAAATCACACCAACAACGGTTATCAAAAATTTCCCAGACAAGGTGTTTTGGGACACTAGGAGATAGTGGCAAAACATTCCCCTCCAAAGACATCCCGGTCTGGAGTCTCCCTTTCTTTAAGGTGCTCCATGGAAAACTGATGAAAAAGGAGAACAGTGAGGCTGTGAACAGAGCAGTATTGGGCAGTATCCGTGCAGAATTATGCACCAGTGCAGAGAGAGGCAACCTATGGGTTCAGAGGCCTACTGTGGTCCATTCCTCCTCCTCCTTGCAGAACTCAGGGGGTCTCCTGCCAAATTATTGAGAAGGGTTTTTCTCATTCACTGCTGAGAATCAGGCAGCTTGATTTTAGGGAGCTTGTGACATGCAGCCTGTTGATCAGAGATTGCCAACTTCTGCTGCAGTGTTAGTACATCAATGGTACTTCATTCCAAGGTTTTTCCTAGTCCTTTGAAGATTAGGAGAGGAAAGCAGATTTCCCCGGCCGATTTCCAACGGCAGGTTCACAAATGCGTGGTCCCCACTGACAGCCATGCTTCCCCAAACTCTTGTGGGAAACATGTAAGAGACAAGGTATGCAAGGCCTTCACCACAGAACACACAATTACTTTGTAGGGTGAGCAAAAGCAAAACTCACCTTTCACGGATTCTTCGCTTCCTAAAGTAGAGATACATGGCAGCTGCGGTCATAGCAATAAGCAAGACGGCAACGATGCTCAGAGCGACAGAACCTGCTGTGGACTTTGACTCTTCTTCTTCACAATAGTGCCCAGTGTACCCCAACATACACCTGCACTTTGCTCTACTGCCTTCAACAACGCAGTCTCCTCTCATGTTACAGGTATCGCTGCTGCAGCGTGGGGTCTCTAGACCAGTTTCCAAGTTCGTCTCAGGGCGGTCTCCACCTTGCACCCGACTTGAAGGCAAGGTACGTGTCGTCGTGGAAGGAGTCGTCGTCCTCCTGGGTTTCGTCACCTTTCTGCTGGGAGGTTGCCTGGCCATCATGGTGGGGGTGCTTTTAGTGACCGGTGCCATTGTTTTGCTCTTAACAGGATATCGTTTTGTTGGCAACATTGGCCAAGATGGGTTTGTGGATGGGAGTTTCTTACTGGAAACACCGGTGCCTGGCAATAGAGAACCATGGACTCAGATAACGTTTGGAATACAGCTAAGCCAACCAAATAACTGACCTCCTTCCTCCTTTGTCAACAGCTGTAGCTGTAAGCAAAGTGTACTTTTTCCAATGTTGTGCTATGTCCTTAGAGGCAAGGTTGCCATCCCATTTTCCTTTTCTAGTACGGAGGAAGCAGAAATTGGACAAACCATACAAATACTGTACTGTAGCTAACTTGTGCTCAACTTTCAATGGGCCACCATAGACGTCTAGCTCACAGCTCCACTACGGATGTCCCATTCTCTAAGATTCATGAGTGTCATTGTTTCACAATACATACCCTTTAAACTCTGATTGCTTCTTCTAAGGAACCCTGGGAAATGTCATTCAGAAAGGGTGCTGGGAGTGTTGAGAGCCTCGGCTGCTGCTTGTATGACTTCATTTCTCAGGGTATCCTCAGAAAAGATAGTAGTAAACTAGTGCTAAAAATATGAAACAGGGACATCCTGCATCTTGTTCTTCCTCAAGGGCTCTGATTTCATCACTGCTTTTTCCAGATCAGGAAAGGACAATACTTTAGCACCCCTAAAACATCAAGCTAAATAATTAAGAGTCAATTGGTCTTCCAATAACTTGTACAAAGCTACAGGAAGGCATAGAGATAAAATTCTTCCCTTTTGGTGTACCAGAAAGCCCAACACCAGCCCTGAACGCTTCCAAAGTGAATCAGAATGCTATAATCTATCTTTTAAGTGTTATTCATGATGTTTCGTTATTAGTCTTCATTGTACATGTTTGGTAATGGGCTGAACACATAGATTTTTTCAGAAGAGTTCTATGGCATGGAATTTCAGTACAGCAGTGACTGTTCTGCCAACAGAATCCCTAGCCTTTAGGTCTTCCGTGGGCTGTTTACCAAGGCTAAGTCCCCAGCAGTTATTTCCTTAGAATGCACGCGTTGCTTCTCAGCCAGGTTACTCACAGTTGGCCTCATCAGATCTGTCAGGACAATCAATGCTACCGTCGCAGACCTTCCCTTTTGCAATACATGCGCTGTGATCCTTGCAGGCGTGAAAAGGCTCCAAGCACCTGGGTGCTCTGATGCATTCAATGCCATGCTGTAGAACGAAGCCCAGACTGCACCGGCACCTTCTTCCGTGTGGAGTTGGCAAACAGATATGGCTGCAACCTCCGTTCTTCACTGAGCAGGCGTTGCTACCTGGAAGCAGCCAAAGAAAGGTGTGTCAAGAGCTTCAGCTGAGCTGACACTCTGTAGCATGTGATGGGTGAAAACAAGCACCCTCTCGCCAATTTGATTGCCAGTGAAGGAAATTCCTATGGAACCCTTCCATCACCCTAGGCCCCATTTAAAAAAAAATCATCAAGTTTAAAATACAGTAAAAAGTGCCTACAATATTTTGGGACGTGGTGGCGCTGCGGGCTAAACCGCAGGAGCCTTTGTGTGCTGCAGGGTCAGAAGACCAGCAGTTGTAAGATCAAATCCACGTGACGGAGTGAGCTCCTGTCGCTTTGTCCCAGCTCCTTGCCAACCTAGCAGTTCAAAAGCATGTAAATGCGAGTAGATAAATAGGTACCACCTTGATGGGAAGGTAAACAGCGTTCTGAATCTAAGTTGCGCTGGCCACGTGACAACGGAAACTGTCTTCAGACAAGCGCTGGCTCTACGGCTTGGAAACAGGGATGAGCAGCGCCCTCTAAAGTTAAACACAACTGACTAAAATGTCAAGGGGAACCTTTACCTTACAATATTTTCAAAAGGTTCCTAATCTTGCAAAGCCCATGGAGGGAAAGCTTGGTCACTCAAGGTCTGATACGCCCTAATCTGGGTACTGGGGACCAGAAGACATTCCCGTTTTGCTGTAGGTTAGATGCCACTGGCTTGTGTTAGCAAGATAGCAGTGGCTAGGTAACTGCTGGGCATAATCTACATTCACCCCACCCCCTGAGATCACAGGGGAGATATTACAGTGGGATTCTGTTCTTTTCGCAAGGAAAGAAGCGGCGTGTTTCCTGCTGCTTGTGCCCTGTGTGGAGTGATCTCCAGCTCACACAACTGGGAGCTGGAGGCCAAGTGGCGTGTGCAGGTCAAGTACATCCACATTTTGCAACAGGATATTGGTCTATGAACTTTACCTTGCTGGCTTACTTTGCTGTAGATCTTGATATCCACAAGCTGCTGGTTCATTGGAAACCACCAGCTTTCTTCTGATGCCAAACTGCTGTGCCACACCCTTGCTGCACCTATTAAGACCCAGAATTAGCATATGACGTGGCTACCGTTTAACGCAACATTATCCTTCTCTAGTCCATCCCGCCCGTGGCCATTTGCTAGAATCTGCTTCCTTCTGGACTAAGTGATACAAGTCTGAGCATTCTTCATAGCTACTTCCCAGGAGCTCTTTAATATGAGTTGAAGACTCCCATTAAGCTCTGTACGTGGGCCCTGATCCGAAGACCTGGAATGCTGGTCATTTAATGTCTTCTCATTTCATTTTGTTCTCAAGGGAGGAGAGTCAAGGCAGATGATCCCACATCCATGTTTGCCCCTCCCACAAGATGGCTGCCTCCAGGCATCTTGGACCAACTCTGATCAGCATGGCCAACCGTTAGGAATTATAAGAGTTGTGAGAAGTCTGCCATGAATAGCTCTATTTAAAAATGTTTTCCCTTTTGAAGCTTGCTTACTGTTGTGGGAATGTGTTGTCCAGATCATCATGCCTTCCCCTGCTGTGAAGAGGACAAGGTCATGTAGCTGTCTCCGGAGGAGTCGGTATTGGGATCCATCCGTTTTAATGGTTTCCACTGTACCTTTTGCTAGAGGAGATTAGAAAGTTAGAACCTTACAGAAAACCTTTCTGACAGAAGAACTATTCCCATTGCTTCTTAACAGCAAGAACCAAAATAAAAATAAATCTTCAACATTAATCCAAGAGTCCCTCTACAGGTCATGTTCCGTAAAAAAAAAAAATCACTAGCTATCAGAAACGTTTTCCTTTGCCATCCTCCAGACAGTGTTCTTTCAGTGTTACTCGATTGTAAACTCTTTTATTTAGAAGCAATTGATTTTTCTAGTTGAAAGCAATCAGAACTTTAGAGCTATGGTTAGACCTTGGCAGCAAACCTATGTCTATTGATGGGTGCAGTGCTTCTTCTGTAAAGTAGGTGGCTACCACTTGGAAGAATACGATCTAGATAGAAAAAGCATTATCCAAAGCAAGTTGTAAAGCTAGTCCATTAAAAAAAATTAGGAAACTTCTTTTATCAACAGAATGAAGTCTCTGAGTAGCCTCCTGGTCAGAATACTATGTTGCTAAAGTGGTGGTGGTGCTGCGGGTTAAACTGCAGAAGCCTCTGTGCTCCAAGGTCAGAAGAGCAGCCATCGTAAGATCGAATCCACGTGACGGAGGGAGCTCCTGTCGCTTGTCCCAGCTCCTGCCAACCTAGCAGTTCAAAGGCATGTAAAAATGTGAGTAGATAAATAGGTACCACCTCGGTGGGAAGGTAATGGCATTCCATGTCTAGTCATGCTGGCCATGTGACATCGGAAACTGTCTTTGGTCACACGCTGGCTCTACAGCTTGGAAACGGGGATGAGCACCGCCCCCTAGAGTTGGACATGACTTGATTAAATGTCAAGGGGAACCTTTACCATTACCTAAATAATGTCAAGGGGAATCTTAACCTTTACCTAAAGGTGGTCCAGATCATCCTAGATGTGGTGTGAAAAGGAAACACCACCGTTCCTTATTTGGGAAGGTTAGGGAAGACAATCTTTTATAATTTTTCAGCACCACATGCCCTTTTAAAAAAAGATTTTTGAGAACCTCTCAAGCCTTGGTTCCTCTCCTCCACCATCAAAATTCCCTTTGGACAAACCAATTCAGTAATTTAAAATGGTGGCACTCCCCCTCAGAATTTCCTCCACCATCACCATCCCACTCCCCAAAGTTTCAGAAGGCTTTATCTGCGCAGGGATCAGCTCCCACGTTAATGCAAAGGCATGTTTCCTACAACAGTAGGTTAATTTTCCACATGTGGATTTGGGCAACCTCGGGTTAGGAGAAACAGACAGTCTTTTCCTCTTAAAAGAGCACAGTTTCTAGATATAGAATTAGCGACTCATCTGGAGAGGGCTTGCTTTGGATGGCCTTTGCCAGCTCAGCTACCAAGCAGGTCTCATGTAGGAAAGAGCACGTGTAGAAAATGTCTGCCTTTTAGCAAAATAAGGTATTATGTTGATGAAACACTGGAATCTAGGTCAGTAGATTGGAGAGAAGAGTTGACTCAGGGGATCTTTAGAGCATGTTTGTGAGCCCCGCATGGCATAGCGGAATGTCAGACTAGAAGCCCTGGGTTCAAATCCCTGCTCTGTCATAGAAACTCTCTGGGGTAAGGGCAGAAATGGGAAATTAACCCTTTTAAGGTTGACGTAAGGTAGAAGCAAGTGACTCGACAGCACATAACAGAGCATGCTAGCCAAATACTTCCTCTTTTTTACACCCTGGTTCAGAATATGATGGGCTTGATGCTTTTGACTTGCTTTCCTAGTCAGGCTCCGCTACTAATGACACTCCATTCTTGAACCCCAGTGTTCACAGCTTACCAAGGAAGCACAGACTAGTATAAGCTACTATTGAAATAATAGAGCAGCTTATAAGAACAACGGCAGGATTCTCTGTTGGTAGGGAAGCAGAAACTATAGCAGAACTGGGAAACCTTTGAACCTCTGGGCATTCTTGGCCTCCCATTTTCAATCATCTCCAGCCAGCCTGGCCATGACAGGTTTCATAGTGCAGCTCTGGAAGGATGCGTATCCCCCACCCGCTCCCTAGTCCTGCAAGGTTGTGCTTACACAAGCACTGGCTGAGCTAGTTCCTCATGGTACTAAATAAAGGTCTCAGAAAGTAGAGCGGCTTATCATCTATACAGCAAATGAGAGCAAAACTTAATTTTCCTGAAAATGCAGATGAAATGGGAGGAAAGTAGGGACAAAGCTGGAGAGAAACCTCTATAAGCTTCTGCTTCCCACCTTCTGACCAGCTTGATAAGCCTTAACCAGGAAATATGATGAAGGAAATATCTGACATATTGCTCATGGTTCCTTCCTTTCAAGTTAGTGATTTAGGCATCTGGCTGCAGACCTAGAGGTCGGGGGTTCAATTCCCCTCTCTGCCTTCTTAATGATCCATAGGGTCCCTTTCCAGCTCTGCAGTTCTAAGATGATTAAGAACCCAAATGACAAGAAGAATTTAATTAACAGAACATGTGATGCTTTGGGGAAGACAGATACATCCTTCATACATTAGGAAAGGCCAGTGTCCATGCTTGGTTCCTTACCTTGACTGGCCCAGTAGAGCCGGGTACCGCCGTCCACAATTGTTAAGCCAACAGGAGCCTGAGTTCTCCTCCAGAGAACCTTCCTTCCACTTCCATCCATAGAGGCACACTCAATCATGGGTCCAGGTAGACCATTCTCAAAACCGTGGTCAGTAATGCACATCGCTGCAGTTGGGGGATGTAGCACGACAGAAGCTGGACGGGAAAGCCCATCAGCAATCACCACATGTACATATCTGCTATCTAGATTTGCTACTCGGACGGACGGGTGCATGTTATCAATCCAATAAATGTTGCCACTCAGCCAATCTAGAGCTAGCGAAACGACCGTGCCCTGAACCGGCAGCAATTCCTTCAGAGATACTCTCCCAGCGTTTTTCATGTTGAGGACTTTTATGAAGCGGCCCTCTGAGAAGTAAAGAGCTGTGTCACGTACAGAGTAGTCTGCAGCTGTCAGGCGGGTAACGTTGGTCATGGGGAGAGAGTTGTGCTCAGGAAGAGGTTCTTGTCCCACTATAGGGCGTAGATTCTCCAGGTAGACCTAAAATCAGGTGCAGTACGAGAACACCAAAAGTTGGGAGTTTAGGCCTACAAGTGGCTGCGTCATTAAGCAGACAAGTCACAGAAAGTAATTCCCACCATAGTATTCAGAGGAGGACTTCTGCCAGAGGACTTTTCAAGGCTGGATCTGTTGACATTTGATCTGGGCTACCATTTCCAGGGCAGAAAGAATGAAGGTTACACCTGTCCCAAGACATCTGCCTCTGTAACAATCAGTTACTAAAGCCAGAGTGCCCATTTTCTAACCCTGCCACACTTGGAACAAAGCCTATGGCTTCAACCACTTCCCACTGACAACAACCTATTTAAAAAGCTACGAGACTCCCTGATCTGGACGCCTTAAAATAGCAGGGCTTTCTTAACTCTTAGATCATTTCAAGCCATACCTGAGTAACTGTTGTTTGTGCAACCAGGAGCATGAATGCTGACTCCTCTAGAGGAATGCAGGTCTTTTTGTCACCTGAAAGCACCAGTCCAATAGGGCAGCGGCAGCTTCCTCTTTTGCCTGGATCCAACAAGCACAAATGCGAACAGCCACGTTGCACACACGGATTGACAGCTGCTGGCTGGAGAACTTCATGCATCACCTGGAAGTCAATGTTCTTTATTTTAACATGTTTCATTGCACGATGAGTTCAAGACTGTCTCTGTGTTTAAGCCTACACTGCAGTCTGTATCTAGTACACACCACCATCTACACTGCATATTGCATCAGAATGCCCGTCTTCTTTTTCCCTTCATACCAAGTATCCCAAGAAATCTTCAATGACAAAACAGTTTTTTTTCCCTTAGGCACGAGTCTTCACCCACCCAGTGCAAAGTTCCCTTGAACAACAGTTTTGTCCACCATTTGACAAACCTGAAACACATGCTCCTTTGAGAATCTGGTTTGTTTCAGTGGGATAAACAGGTTAATTCTCTCAGCAAATAATTGGAATTTTAGACCGCTCAAGTGTAAGATTTAGAAGTGGTAGAGCAAGTTGTATGAATTACTAAAACTTACAAGGCAGGCCTAGTGTTTAACATCCTCATGGAAAGACTACTGAAGCAGCATGATTTCAAATAATAGTTTTAATTGCTAGTGGCTTAACAGCAGTAATGACTGGGTCAACAACTATGCTAAGAGTCGGTGTTGTATAGTGGACAGAATTATGGACTGGGTCTCAGGAGGCCTGGTTCAATCTCTGCTTGCCATGGAAACTCACTAGAGGGTGGCAACAGGAACATCACTCTTTAAACATCTCACATGCCTTGGAAACCCTACTGGGGTTGCTGCAATTTGGATGCAACTTGAAGGCAAGTAAGAGCAAAAACTACGATGCTATGGTAGGAGAATGCACAAGGAATGGTGTGTAAAGGAGCTGACAGTAGCCCGTACAAATTAAATGTAATCTTCTCTTATACTGTTTAGAGCAAGATACATATAGACCTAGGGAACTGAACCCTTCGAGTCATGAACCCAACTTACCATCTCCAGCAGCTTCATTTTGGCCAGGAATAGAGAAATTCTCATTCTCTCAGCCTGTCTTTTCACCAGCATAATCTCTTCATCATATCGTAGAGCTCAGAGAGTCTCTAGGAAAGGGTACCATCCCATTGCCAAGAGGTCCGGAAAAGCCAGAGAATCTGGCTAGCAAATCCATTACCAGATCTGGACCCCAGAGACTTTGTCCTCTGGGTGCCAACATTTAGGAAGCACAAAGTTATTTACTCATTGCACTTCTATGCCACCTTTCCCCAGCTGTTGGAAAGTCACAGACCTACCTGTTGGCATTTGGTGCTAGAAGAACATGACCCCACTTTACCCTAAAAGCATACACTGCTTCCAGATTTCCCTCCTCAGGCAGGCGGAAATAAAACAGGACATCCATTGTGCACTCAGAACCCAGGCATTCTCTCTCATTCTTCAGTCCTCTCCTTGCATATGCCAATTTCACCAAGCTAAACAGTTGATACTCTAGATCAGTGGTCCCCAACCTTGGGCCTCCAGATGTTCTTGGACTACAACCCCCAGAAGCCTTCACCACTGTATATGCTGGCCAGGATTTCTGGGAGTTAAAGTCCAAGAACATCTGGTGGCCCAAGGTTGGGGACCATTGCTCTAGATGCCTGAATAGCTACATAGTTACAGCTCTGCTGGCTATTGTTCCATCTTATAAAGCCATCGACATGCACCTGGCAGGGAGATAAACTCTTGGTCAGTGGCCAAGTTGTATATACTTATACAGAAGAACGGAGACAGTACCTTTAGTCCATAGGGTTGCCCGCGAGGCTTGAGTAGGCTTGATCTCTTTTTGCCAGTCCTTTTGTTAAGCCTCTGCACACTCCTCATTTTGATGTCAGACCAATAAATGGAATCTTCAAAGACAGTCAATGAGAAGGGAGTATGGATCTCAGATAATTCAAAAACCTAAAAGAAGAACATTCATCTCAATGTACACTCAGATAAAAAAAGAGAGTGGAAGGCTTAAGAGTCATTGCTTTCTATGCTTGACTTGTCACCCCCAAGAAGCAATACAGAATGCTACCTACTAAAATCTGTCTAAGACTAAAATGGGCTTTAGATGTTCATATTATGAACAGCAATGGCCCCTTTTAAAACAAATACCTTGAATTCTTGCTTGTTTCCAGCCTTAGAGGGTTACTTCAGTTAAGCTTATAGGTTATGCAGTACCTTTATATTTGTTCCATCCAAAGAGGCTGAACCAATGCAATGAAACTTGTCATCAGACCAGAAGATTTTCCCGCTCAAAAGGTCAAGAGCGATGCTGGTAGGCCAGCCAAGTACTTCATCAATTAGTACTTCTTTGCTGCTTCCATCCATCCCAGCTTTCTGTATTTTGGGATCAACCCCTATTTCACACCAATACATTAAACTGGGAAAGAGAAGCTTTATGTTAAACAGTCCTGTAAAACAGAGGAATTCATCACTATGGCTTCCAAATAGCTTCTGCAAGAATTCATATACATCCTTTTGCTCTTTTAGGTTGCAGGACAAACTGTCCATCTTCGGAAAGAACATCTAATCCATTGTCTGAATCTAGGAGAACTTTGCAGTGAGGTTCTCCTGTGACTTGTTGCTGGTGTTTAATCTATTAGCAAGCCACCTTTATTCTTTGGAATTTAAAACAATGTAGTAAGATCTCCACATGATTGTCATGTGCTTTCAAGACCACATCTTGGGACCTTGTCTACAAGCAAGGCTACTTGTATCTCTTCTGAGAAGCATTGGAGACTTTGAATGATTATTTTATATTATGCTTTAGCAACTTCATTTTTCTTGATTATATCCAGACCATAGCTTAAGTAAAAACCTTGATCCTGAGTCCTGATTCTGAAGCCAGAGCCCAGTTCTAACATGTGAATGAGGCAGAGTGAACAGTTCATGTTGGAACAAACCAGAATTCACACTAGGTTTTCCACAGATAACCCGAGTTCTGTCGTACTTCTGGGAAAGGTTTTAGATCACTTACGTTTGAGCCTACGTTAATCTTCACCTATATCGTCAATTGAGACCAGATTGTGTTTGAAATACATTGGCTTATGGAGAAACCATTAAATTGCCAAATATAGACCATTCATACATTATCAGGCTTATAAAACAACAGAGGTCTTTACAGCTGTAAGAAATATATAGAAGGGGAAATTTTGGCAAGGGTACGGCAAGGTACATCTGCTGACATTCCTTTAGTTACATAGCTATCAAAGATGTAAGAACCCTTTCCTCTTGTACAGTACTTTTGGCTCCTAATCCCTGCAGTGTCAGAGGTGTACTCGCCCTATCCATCCTACGGTGGCACATTTTACACTTTGACCCGTCAAGATCGACAACCCTATTTTGTGTTGAGAGGCAGACTTTTGCCCTGTTGTTTCAGTCCTCAACTACCTTAAAAACACAAGCCAGCCATTAAGAACCACAAGGCATGATGGCAAAGCCTTTACAGCCCAGTAGATAAGAACGGCATATGAAGTGTTCAAGTGGAGTCCCTCCATCTATACCTGGTTTCAGAGACTGCCTTAGGCCCCATGGTTGCATATCCTTCCAAGACGTTTGGGTCTTTTGCAAGCATTCCCCAAGACAAATTGTTTCAAAAGTCTTACCCCTCCAGTGGGTGGAGAGCCAGAGACCGTGGTTGACCTAGGTAATCAAGAACCACCGTGTATTCAGGCTTTCCCCGCCAGGTACCATTTAGCTGAGTAGCCAGGATCTGTCCAGCTATCCCGTCAGTCCAGTAAAGATTTCTTCCTACCCAGTCCACTGCTATGCTGTCAGATTTGATTCCTAAAATAAATGAACAGAAGTGAACCTACAGTACTATGATCTGCATCCTGATACCAAAGGGAAGCTGCCACCTCTCAAAGCAGTGTTAAGAAGGTGGTTTGGGTTCTGGCACAGCAGTAGGCAAAATCCTACTGGGGGACAAATCCAGAAACAGCCTTTGCTTCAAGTCTAGCTATCACATTTTCAGGACTCTGCTTTGGTAGCTGAAGGAAATAGACATCTACTGAAAAGAACCGAGCAACAAGGAGGCCTCTAAAAACAGTGGCCGATACAACAACCATGCTCTATTGTCTAGTAGCCAAAGGCAGTCCACACCTATCACAATTTGTGTATCTCAAAAATACTACCTGGATAAGGACAGATTTAAGCATAATAGTATAGCAATTACTGGGCTTAACATAAGCTTATGAGCATGACTTTATTTGCATATTTGTTATATTTACATCTTGCCTCCCTTCAATAAGCTCAAGGCCTCATCCATAAATGTCTTCTGTCCACTTGATCTTCACAACAGCCCTGGAAGGTAGGCCAGGCTAGGAGTGTGTGATGGTGAATTTTTACAGAATGACTCTGTGACTCCCACTTTCAACAGAGCTTAGTCCAAATCAAGAATATACAAGATTCTGACTTTGGCAACCTACAGCTGCTAAACTAATCTCATACTTCAACGGCCCTTCCCACCTTTTCCCGGTCTGTCTCTCCAAACCACTATTTAACACTTTTTAAAACCTTGGGAAAGAAAGACACAGAGCTGTTCAGAATATTTCCACATGCTATCTCGTACCCCGGCTATAATGACTCACTAAAAGCTTCCATGAAAGGCAAAAAAAAAGACCTCTCGGGAAGAAGCTGTCTGTCATATGTCTGCCTGTTCTCTGTTGGCTACGTTGACATTTTCCAGAATCCACGTGTTGATTTATACCATGACTGAGGAACATATGGCTCTCTAGATGTAACTGGAATCTTAACTGTCATCATCCTGGATTTGCTCCTAATTTTAACAATCTTTATAGGGACAGAATTAATCAGCTGAACTGCTTCAACCTATACCTAGTTCAGGGACACTCTCAGTGTTTCCAGATGAAGTAACTGCCTGGTACACAAACCCACTGGTTAAATGTCACCTTTTGATACAGCTCTTGTACTGATTCCCTCTTGCTGCCGCTGAGCTTGCAAGCCAAATGTGTTTGATACAGCTCTTGTACTGATTCCCTCTCGCTGCATGTAGGAGAAGAGGAAACATTATCTACAGTACATAATGTCATGAGTGCCACTGAGCTTGCAAGCCAAATGTCCTCCCATGGAGATCTTATTGATATGAACGAGGGCTGGGTATGGATCTGATTTGGAAGTCAATTCATCGCTGACCATTGGACATACTGACTGGGGCTAAAGGGAGTTGTAGCCCAACATCATCACACAATCTTGCCCCATGCCTACTCTTAGTCTAAGTAAAGCAGGAAAATGCTTCTGAGCGGGTATATCACAAAAAGGTAGATGCTGCTAACATTGTGTACTTTTCCATTCATCAATAACAATTGTGTGTGCAGCTGGGAGTTGCAGCAACCAGCCTCAGTTTACTGCAGTGTACTGGTGAAGGGATGCATCAGCCTGTTGAGCTGTATATTTGTTGCCTCAAATAAACCTTTGAGTAGCTTGATGCCAAGTCTTTTCCAACTTCTCAGGCTAGTCCATGCAGACGGAGTTCATTCCATTAACATTTACAATGGTGCTTAATTTCATGTACCAATTTCAAAAAGTCCCTTTCACTTTAGGAACAGGAGCCCACCTGTTGAATAAACTGTGAGCTTCAACTTGGTATGCTGGAAGTCCTAGTCTAAGGCCTTATAAAAAGGCATGAAAGTGGCTGTCAGTAGGACGGGTCTATAGCACCTCACAAGTGATGAACACACACACATTTATTTAATCAGGTTTCCCTACAGAACCACATCCAGCCAATATTTCTCTTTCTAAAATTGGCTTCGGACTTCAATTGCTTTTAAACTAAGCTATGAGCTTTTGTAGCCACATAGAAATTAGAACAAGATTCAGATTTTCATTCTACAAGACGACATTTTAGCTAAAATTACTAATAGACACAAGTTCAGGCCAGGTTAGTTTTATCCCATGCCAAGGATTTCTTCTTAGAATACCTAAAATATCAGAATATCGATGAAGACCTACCTTTTACGAGAGTTCCTTTTTGCTTGGATTTTGTGTTCATCCACTTTATGCTTTCTGCATTAAGGTCCATCCAAAAGATCTTCTTCTCCACCAAATCGTAGTCAATGGAAAAGATAACGAGGTCCTTGTCCATTGTCAAGATAATATTTTCTTCCATGCTCCGTAATCCATATTGGATCAAGTAAAACTGGATGGTAACTAGCAGAACTGGCTTGGACCCTATAGCAAAAGCACGGCTGTTACTGTTATACTGTTGTTTAGCACTTTTGTAACCTTACTTAGGCTGCTTCAGATTATGTTTATATATTTAGGAACCCTTGCCTTTAGTAACCTGAGCCCATTCACAGTTGATGATTCACTAAAAGCTTCACAACTTAAGGGATAGCTTATTGGTGACATTTCCTCATCATCAGTCTTCTGTCATCAACTGCTGCACTCAAATTAGATCTAGATCTATTAACACTGGCTGAAAAGAGTAAATTCTAAGCATTACCACTTACGAACTAAACAGTTTAAAAATCACAGACGTTGTCCAATGGTTTTATATTTGTATTATGCTCAATATTTTTGTTAGACCACATGTCTCCTATTTACTTGCAGATTCATTCATTCACCAAAACACTGCCCACAGAGTTTCAGAACTCTATATACAAGATGCATGAAGACTCTTGACTTCCTAACAGCCTGAGTTACTCAATCTATCCCCACCAATTTTGTCAACAGGAAGCAGAGGCCTTGTAGCTGGGGCCTCCTTCCAATCATTCTGCGGAAACACACATTTGAAGCCAAATACAGTGGTGCCTCGCAAGACTATTAATCCGCAAGACAATTAGTTTTTGCGATCACTGTTGTGCTTCACAAGATGATGTTTTCTATGGTCGATTTTCACAAGACGATGATTTTTCCCCTTTGGAACGCATTAAATAGATTTAAATGCATTCCAATGGGGAACCGCGTTCCGCAAGACGATGTTTTCTATGGATGATTTTCACAAACCACCGATTTTTCCCCATTGGAACGCATTAAATAGATTCCAATGCATTCCAATGGGGAACCGCGTTTCGCAAGACAATGTTTTCTATGATTTTCACAAGACGACGATTTTCCCCATTGGAGTGCATTAAATAGATTTCAACGCATTCCAATGGGGAACCACGTTTCGCAAGACGATGTTTTCGGAAGATAGCGTTTTTCGCGGAACGAATTAACATCGTCTTGCGAGGCACCACTGTACTTTAATCTCCCCTTTCCATTTCACACAAGCTCAGTTGGCCCCATTCTTTCCTCCACAGACAATCCCCTGCTGAGAAAGCCAAGCTAGAACCTCACCAATCACTTTGCATGTGTGGCCATCTGGTTCCAGCAAGTAGCCTGGATGGCAAGTGCAGTTGTAGCTACCATTTGTATTGATGCAGGTCTGGCTGCATTTCTCCTCAGGCAGTTCTTTACATTCGTTGATATCTTTGCAGACGTGCTGGTCACTTCTTAGCCTGAATCCCTGGTGGCAAGCACATCTCTGAGAGACAATGAGAGAGAATGAATGCATGGTGAAAAGCTCTTTGTGCCCACAGGTGAGAGACAAACATTAGTCATCCTCTTTTACACTAAAACACTCAGCTTCCTTCTGAGAGCTGTTACCATGTAAAGAGTAAATAAATTGCCCTTCAGAAGTCCAAAATTGATACCTGCTCTATTCCCAGTTCTTTCAAGCGGGAGGACCCCCCCAATGGACAATCCAGAGGACCCAAATGCCTAATGAAACTTTAGTACCTTGAAAATAAGGATCTCAATATTTCTCTACTATGAGCTATTTCTACCAAAACGCCATCTTCAGGCGTAGAAGACGAGAGGATGGGCTTTGGTATTTTGACAGGATAGGCAGAGGTGAGGAAAAACCCAAAAGAGCATTCAACCTATTAGCTGGATTTAGGATTCTGCAGTGAGATGTGAGATGCTTCTAAGCTTTGTGTTTTATAGTACAATTGCCCTTCTCCTTTCATGTGATTCGAGCACCCGTTTCCTCACTGTTGAGTCTAGCTTTTGATTTGACAAGCCTTAAAATGGGGAGACCGTCTGCACAGTGCTATCCAACAGGTCTGTAGGAAGTATGTAGGTCCCAGGAGATCCCTGCTAGAAGGTATTACTATTCTAAAGCAGAGCTGGCATTGGTGATATTTTTTAACATTCACGCATTACTCTTTCACTTACAGGCCCCTGAGGTGACTGGTAGCAGATCTGTGAACATGGCTTCTGACATGGCACACCACAACGGCCACCTTCGTCCAATCCACCTGGGCAGTTCAGCCTCCCGTTGCAGACGAGAGTGTAGTTGATACAGACTTCTCCACACTGGAATTCATAGTCTTCGCACTGCCTAGGTTTGCCTGCATGAAAGCAAGGAGAGTTTTTATGACCTCTGCAGCCTATGGACCACCAAGCATGCATGAAACATTTTGGGGTGGGGAATTGTTTTAAAGGAGCCATTTCAAGGTATGAGCTCTTGCATTCTAGAATTGCTGAATTCCTCATTTAACTGGACTGAAGTTATAAACTAATTGTTAATAGTTTTAAGTTTAAAGGTTTGTTGAATTCTTTATAATTTTTATATTGATTGTTTTAGTAGCTGCCCTCGAAGATACAAGTCTAAAGAACGCACGGTAAAACTTTTTAGAACAATATAATTGCTTTTGTACAGAAAATGTAGGTAAAAAGGAACCGCAGAAAAATATGCATAACTGCTTATTTGTACTTATACTAGAATAGGGGGAAATGAATTAAAAATAATTTAAAAAAAAGATTGCATCAGGCCTTGAAGCATAATTGAACCCGTGGACATAGCTCCGCAGATATTCCACCTTGAAGCATAATTGAACCCGTGGACATAATTCTGCAGATATTCCACCTTGATCATCCCAGAGTGCAGGACATGTAATAATGAGTTTATCCCAAAGTGCAGGACATGTAATAATGGGTGTAAGTTACAGGGGGCCAAATTTAGGCTGAATATCAGGAAAAACATCTCAACTGTTAGAGCAGTATGACAATGGAACCAATAAACCTGGGAGGTGGTGAGCACTCCAACACTGGAGGCATTAAAGAGAAAATTGGACAACCATCTGTCAGATCTTTGAGCAGGGCAGGGGTTGGATGTGATGGTGTAATAAGCCCTTTCCAACTTCATTTATGATTCATTCTTTTTACCGTTTACTGATATAAAGAAGGAACTGGCTTTAGAAGGGCTTGTTGATCCTCCCTACAACCTTTCATCCATATGTGCTCAGGGAACAGAGCCTAGAACTAATTTATTACCCATAATTCCTTTTTAAAAAAACAAGGAATGGTAATTTTGTCCTAAAGGAAACTGCAGCCTGCAGGAGTCAGAGGTTGCTTCCTACCCACCCTCAATTAAAAGTTAAAAAGATGTTGCACTGTTCCTCAGGAGACGTTTCCCCCCCTTCCGGAGGGTGGAGATCTTACCAGCATTCTGCTGCTGCTTTTATTTCATGGGATTTGGACATTTTTAACAGCATCATTCTGATGTGCCCTGTACAGAATTTATTTTTTCCTTACTCCTGTAGAATACCAATAGTTTTAGCAGCGAAGACTCTAGACATTATGTTTTCCTTGCAGCTTTTAATCTGATGCAAAACTGACCACAAGATGAAAGGTGTTCAATATCCAAGACTTGAGTTGCAGGAAATAACTTTTGAGTGGCAGAGTAATGTAAGCGGCCTTGTATCCTTTTGGGGAGAAAGGCGGCACAGAAATGTTTTTTTAAAAATGGGGAAAAACGTGCTTACAATCCATCTCATCGCTCTTATCTTTGCAGTCCGGCTCCCCATCGCAGAACCATGAGCTTGGAATACACTCCGTCAAGCTCTTGCATCGCCACTGATTGGGGCCACATTGTTGCTTCGGCGGACAATCCTGCAAGAAGGAAAAACCTCAGAAAAACAAAAGTTACAATTTCTCTCCCAACAGCCTTTTTATGTAGAAAGAATTGGGACATCCTCATTCCTTGTGACTTGGACACTAGGGCTTGGAACTAATCTGTAGATGAAACCATAACAAGATAATGGAGCAAATTTTATGAAGATGAGAACAAACTTCTGTACATAAACGAAGGTCTGAAACCAATTTATGAAGATGTAAAAATCTAGTTGCCATCACAAGCAGACCTATAACTCTTTGGACTAGGCCAATGTTGCAAAAAGCAATAAATAAATAACTGTGTATGGTAGGACCCCCCTATCCATGAGGAATCAGTTCCAACACCACCACCACCCCCGTGGATGCTGAAAAACACTGATTATAACAAACACTATTTTAATAGAGAACACTATACATAGCATGGCCTCTGGCTCTGTAGTGGCTAATTCTTGTAATGACATCATGGAAATATATTTCTCTAGAGTAGGAGTCCCCAGTGCCGGTCCGGAGACTTCCCAGGACTGGGCCACGGAGACGGATCTCCGCCCCACCCACCCACACACACAGTGGGTGTGTCGCACTCACAGGCGGGTGTTGTGCTTGTGTGCACACACGCACACACATGAGCATGCCATGCCCCCTGGCAAGCATGACACGCCCCCAGCAAGTGGGGTTGCCCCCGCACCCTGCCCAAAGAGCTCACCCCCCCCATCTGGTCCACAGTTCCAAAACAGTTGGGGACCGCTGCTCTAGAGAACACTATACATATTATGGTCTCTTATTCTCTGCGGGTGTTGTGCTTGTGTGCACACACGCACACACATGAGCATGCCATGCCCCCTGGCAAGCATGACACGCCCCCAGCAAGTGGGGTTGCCCCCGCACCCTGCCCAAAGAGCTCACCCCCCCCATCTGGTCCACAGTTCCAAAACAGTTGGGGACCGCTGCTCTAGAGAACACTATACATATTATGGTCTCTTATTCTCTCTAGTGGCCCATTCTTCAGAAAGAACCTCATACTGCTGGTTCTATATCAGATGAAGAAGACAACAGACAGTTGGCACAAAAGACAAGAAATTCCCTAAGTCAAAACCTTCCCAAATTAATAAACGTTTGACATTGAGATAACCTTTGCAATAGTGAAGATGTTGAACATCCGATTCTGACACAGCACAACAAATACCAATTTCACAGTCGAAACTGAAATTGACAACACAATGGAAACCATCAGTACCATCTTTTAATTCAGTCTTGCTTCCACTATTTCATTAGCTATCATACTTACCAATGTTCTCCCGCAGTATCTGGCCTATGTTTTGACACTGGGTCCATCAGAACCAAATTTGAAAACACCACTGAATACATCTGCAGAGAACAAAACCATGGAAACCAGTTCATCAGAATCAGAAGATGATTGACAGTATTCTGTAGAATCTCCTTCCCTACAGTGGTGCCTTGCTTAACGGGCACCCCATTTAACGCCGAAATCGCATAGCGATGAAGATTTTGCGATCACTTTTGCAATCACTTTGCGATGGTCTGAATGGGGTTTTTTCGCTTTGCAATGATCAGTTCCCTGTTTCGCTTACCGATCATCGCAAAGCGATGATTTTCCCCCAGCTGAGCGGCGGTTCCAAAATGGCCACCGGGTAAAGAAATGGCCACCCACTGTGATTAGGGACGGATTCTTTGCTTACCGGGCAGCAAAAATGGACGCCGTATAAAGGATTTTCGTTTAAAGGTGAGTCTGAAGCCCATAGGAACGCATTGAAGGGGTTTCAATGCATTCCTATGGCCTTTTTAATATCGCATATATATATGGTATTATCGTATCATATATATATATATATGATTTTTAATACATTTTAAATATTTTCAGACCATGGACAAGTGAATGAGCAAATACTGATCCCATGGATAAGAGGGTTCTACTATATTGCATGTTTTTATTTGTCAATAACAAATAAATAGGTACTGTACTAATAGCATGTCTATAGGTCAGCAATGGTGAACCTATAGCACACATGCCACACAGAGCCTTTTCTGCCACAATGGCGAACCTATGGCACACGTGCCACACAGAGCCTTTTCTGCCAGCATGAGAGCCATAAGTCACTGGATTGCTACTCCCGCCCCGTGCAGCCAAACCTGAGAAGGTGGCTGCAGCTGCAGTGCTGGCGCTTTGGTAGGTGGATCCGGAGCAGCTGGTGCTGGCAGCCGACCCCGAGTGGGGCCTCGGTGGCTGCAGCTGCAGTGCTGGCGCTTTGGTAGGTGGATCCGGAGCAGCTGGTGCTGGCAGCGGACCCCGAGTGGGGCCTCAAGGCACCTCCATGCCCGGATTCCTCCTCTGTTGCCGTGACACGCCGCCCGCTAGGTTCCCCTCCCAGTTTTGGCACGTGAGCCCAAAAAGGTTCGCTGCCACTGCTATAGGTTAAGAGAGTTGGCTGGATAGCTCAGTGGCTTAGGTCTCTTGCTTGTGGAGCTTGATTTCCTATAGTGCCTCCTGCGATCACAGCCAGCCTGTGTGGCCTTGGGCAAGCTAGGCAGGCTCAGAGCACCTCCAGGAGAAAGGAATCTTAAATCGCTTCTGGATATTGTCTACCTGGAATGAGCTGCGAAAAGGTCAACGTAACTTAGAATTGACTTGAAGGCACATTGTTGTTATTAGTGGTCAAGAGATAAAATGGATTATCTCACCAACAGTTAAGACGTGATTAAAAACAGTGTCACAAGTTTTTTTCCCCCCGCCTTGCTATTTATACCCATTCATCCGATTGGTCTGTGCAGTCCATCTCCCCATCACAGAGCCATTCTTTGGGGACGCACTCTCCACTGCCAGGGCACTTGTGACCCGAAAGACACACATGAGGGAGCGGGCAGTCTTCATCCGAGTGATCCTCGCAATCATGAACTCCATCGCAGTGGAAGGGCAAAGGAATACACTGGCCACTTTGACACTGGAACTCTTCTTCCATACAGGACACCTTCACTGTAAACCCAACAGAGCCAACTTTTAACTTTTCCACACATCTCACAAACATCGCAGACTGGACTAGAGCCTTATCCAATGAGATTTATGGGTTGAGGTCCCTATATTACAGCGTGTCATGTAAAATGTAGGTAGAGGTGTACATAAAGAATGTATCTGGAGGTGAAGGCACTCTACATCTCATGGGATGTGACAAACGGAGTCATCATGATCCCTCGCCATCACTTTACTCAAGTCTTTATACATTCATTCTTATATCTTGTGACTTGCTGCACAATATTGTGGTGCCAGTGGTGGACAGAACTTTGAAGCGCCTCCTTTCTTTGGACCCAAAGCAATTAAAAATCCCTTTACTCTAATATTTATTTCATTTAAATTTCTTTTTTACTCCACCTTTCTCCTCAAAAAGGACCCAAGGCGGCTTACAACAACGAAAGACAATATTTAACATTGAAGTGGATGACACAGAGTGGAAAGGGACCTTCTAATCTCCTCATTGTTGAGCACCTAGAGCCTGAAGGGGCACAGGGCTCTTTTGTGGTAAAATCAATCACTTTTAAAAATAAAAGTCCCTTTAATCTTTTTACCAAAACCCCACATTTTTGTAAGAACTTTTTGAGGGGTAGGGTTAGAAGAGCAGGCGCTGCCTCTGCAGTCAAGAGATGAGCAGGTGCAGCCCTCAATCCCCTGGAGCAGTGCTTCCCAAACGTGGGTCCCCCAATGTTCTTAGACTACAACTCCCAGGAATCCTGGCCAGCAAAGCTAGTGGAGAAGGGCTTCTGGGAGTTTTAGTCCAAGAACATCCAAAGATACAATTTAGGAAACCACTGCTCTAGAAGTTGCCTAACTTGCACCAGTGCTGCAGCATGCAACAGTCTGGGCATTGGTAGAAGAGCCCCAGACCATCGGTTTTGTTCATGTCACACATTTCATCCTAAAAATCAACATTGCAAAGACCTCCTTCCTTGTAAATCTCTTTACACAAAGCTTTTGTGGCAAGGGATGTTTTTAGTCTAACTTCTGGCGCTACAAATCAGACATGAACCTATAGACCTTTCACAAGACCAATTGCTGAACTGAAAGCAAATGAAAGATTATCTCAGTTTGAGGCTAGATCCTTGCTATGCCATGGAGAAAGCTTCAGGAGACATGCATTCCCCATGTGAAAAGTTGCCAGCTGCCAAGAAAACCCAGCAGTTTGTCCCAACTGTGGGCACCTCCAGTGTCCATCTGTCATTTGCTTACCACATCCTACTTCGTCTGCTCCATCAGCACAGTCAGGGCTCCCATCGCAGACGAAGCTCTGAGGCACACAACGTGTTCCACTATCACAATGTATGGCGCATTCCAGTTTTGGCACCCAGCAATTGGATTCATCGGAGCCGTCATAACAATGTGAAACCCCGTCACAAAGATATCTTTTATTAATACATCTTTTGTCACTTGCACACTGGAACATTCCTAAATATGAGGATACAAACAGCATTCAAGACTCTCTAGATTAAAAAGTGCTAGAAAAGGCAAGGGTGTACTTTTTGATTTTAGAAAGAAAAAGACTCGACAAAAGGTCACTACAGCACTGCTGTACAAACTGGGGTAATGTTTTCTGAAAAAGGTCACTACAGCACTGCTGTACAAACCGGGGTAATGTTTGCTGATGCACCTTCAGCCAAGTAGTCCAGGAAGAATTCTAACCCTGGGCTTAAAACAGAACACTCCTGGCCGTGAAAGCCTTCGCGAATATTTTGCTGATGCACTTTCAGCCAAATAGTCCAGGAAGAATTCTAACCCTGGCCTTAAAACAGAACACCTGCAAGTTGGAAAAAGTTGAACAAGTCTCCATTAAACCATAACTTGCATGTATTAACAGATGTTTAGTTTCACGCGATCTATGCCAACCATTCTCAATGGGTGCCATATAGCCCCTGGGGAGTCCTGGCACATTTGAAGGGGGCCACAGGCTGTAAACAATTCTTCACACACCACCTTATAAGGTTTGCCGCTTACACAATCCTAATTTGATCTATATTTCTTTCATATTGGCCATATTTTATGGCCATAGCCAAAAAATGGTTGAGAATGACTGATGTAGCTTTGCATGATCATGAGATTACAAACATCCAGAGAATCTCTGTATTTAAAAGTATTCCCAAAGCTTGCTTGTACAGTATAGGTTCTTAGACCCAACACCTTACTTGTTTACTTTCCCAAGTATCAAGACAAATTCCTTTTCTCATCTCTACCAAGCCACAACACTTATCCCAGGCCCAGCAGGTAGAGAAATGACACCCTTTCTCTTGTCTCATTTCAGTAGCCTTTTATCAAAGATCTCACTTTTAAAAAAAATGAAAATGGGGGATTTGACTGTTAGAGAATAACTATAAGAGAATGTATGAAGGAAGCAGGAGAAATAAGGGAGACACTGTTAGTTTTGGACTAATGGGATCAGATATGGAATTCAAATGCACAGGAAGGTTAAAATAGGTAAGGAACATATCTAAAACTGCTAATGAAGAATGCAGCATAAGAGCTGCCTGTGACATCAACAGCTATCGTTCCATATACGTAGGACCAAGTTTGCCTACAAAAGCTTGGGTAGAATAGGCATAAATTTATTTTGCCACTGCGTGAGTCTCTTGACAATAAGCTGCATCCCCATCAACAATCAACTTTAGGAAAACAATGGTAACTGATCAGTTTGTCATATTAGATATTGCTTGGTAAATCCCAGATAACTTCTGTTCTCCAGTGTCTTTGAAACTTCTGGGAAAACAATTTGTGAACTCTTACCTTATGTCATCTTTTACTCCAACCAAACTCAACATCAAGTCTACCTGACAAACTTGGATTCCTTCACTCAGTTTCTTCTTGGTGAACAGACAAATCTTGTTCAGAACAGCTGCAATTAGCCTGTATTCCAAGAGTCAGTATCACTGACAGCTCCCTAGCCAACAATGCCATGCATACTGGCAGGGAGCCTCTTCTTCTGTTAGCTCCAGTCTCAGGAGGTTCCACCTCCTCCTCTCTCAAACATGAACACCTAAGTCAAGAGGGCAGGTTAGTGGCTAAACTTGCACCTGCTCCTCCCTTAAGACTAGAACATGCAGCTTTGGCACATCTCCTTTATTATGAAAGTTATCGTGATATCAACTAAACTACCAAGAGTAATCACCTTCTTTGACAAGAACCATTATGTGTTACTTAAGCAGTCCTGTAAGCCTGAAACAGCCTGTCAGTAGCCCAATGGCTTGTTTCCTGTCTCAGCAGGGTGGAAGAAGTGTCATCTGTTCCTTAAGTGCTCTGTGTGCAAATTTCTTGGAGAAGGTTAATTTCTTTGCCAAGGAGGACAGTGGTTAAACTGCAGTACTCCAACCAAAACTCTGTGCACAGCCCAGGTTCAATCCGAGGTAGCTGGCTCAAGGTTCACTCAGCCCTCCAAGAAAATTGAGTACCCGGCTTGCTGTGTGTCTGTGGGGAATGCATACCCTGCATAATTAAACTGTAAACTGCCCAGAGAGCCCTTTAAGTGCTATAGGATAGTATACAGTGGTGCCTCGCATTACGACGAAATCGCTGTAGAACGAAAACATCATAATGCGAAAATAAAAAGCCCATTGAAACGCATTGAAACTCCTTCAATGCATTCCAGTGGGCTGGAAACTTGCAGTTCAGCGAAGATCCTCCATAGGGCGGCCATTTTTGGTGGTTGTCTTGTGAGGAATCTGTCCCAGAAAACAGCGGGGAGCCATTTTATTTAACCGGCGGCAATTTTGAAACTGCCGATCAACTGGAGGAAAATCGTTGTTTTGCGAAGAATCGGTTCCCAAAGCAGGGAACCGATCATCGCAAAGCAAAAAACCCCATTCAGACCATCGTTTTGCGATCACAATTGTGATCGCAAAAAGATTGTCATAATGTGGGGCAATCGTAAAGCGAGGCACCACTGTATAAGCAACATACTTTGCTTTACTTTTACTGTTATCTGTTCAAACTGGAACCTGAGTATAGATAAACCACCAAGGGCATTTTGTTTCAGTTCTTGGCCCACAGCAGTGGTTCCCAACCTAGGGTAGCTCAGATGTTCTTGGACTGCACTTCCCAAAAGCCTTCACCACCCGCTGTGTTGGTTGGAGTTTCTGGGAGTTGCAGTCCAAGACAGCTGACTAACCCAAGGCTGGGAATCATTGACCTATAGAATGCACGATGGGAGTACCTGTTTCAGAACAGAACTCATCGCAGTGGTCTTCATCAGAACCATCCGCACAGTCCTCCTCTGTATCGCAGCGGTATTCATAAGGTACACACTCTTCCCCGTTTCGGCAAGAGAATTCAGCCCACCCACAGGCGAGAGTTGCCAAGACTGTCGTCCGAGTTGTCCGCTGTCTTGTTGGCTTTGCTGTGGTAGGTGCAGTCGTAGTAGTAGTAGTTGTTGTTTTTGTTGTTGTTGGTAGCACTGTTCTTTTGGAGGATGTTGCTCTTGCCTGTGCTGTTTGTGGCACTGCCTTAGTAGTGGTTGTAGGAGGCAGCAATACAGCAGTCCAGATAACTGCAGGTTGTACAACAGGAAC